CCATCACCTTCCCTGGCACCGAGGTCAGAATCACCATATTGAATCACCGTTTACTTTGAGTCTTGTTCCAGATAATTGAGAAGCTAATGAAATGTACTACTTACAATAGCTATCTGGATTTTCTTTCCAAATTCCATCCAAGATGCTATTCTGCCTGGTTTCTGTGCCTTGCATTCTGCTGAAGCAAATAAAATCTGATGGCTACTGCTCTTCTAGAAATGAAGATTTCTTGAATATTTCTTTTTTTCCTATGTTCTGGGAATCTTGCTCACCTGTCCTCTCTACTGTTGTATTGTGATGTCATTTGAGTCCTCCAAGTTCTTTCAGGGGCTTCAAAATCTGACCCTGGCTCTTGACTGTTCCCTGCAGCTTGGGTAGTCTGCAGGGATAAAATCATCTGGTGTTTATATTCTGTTGAGATCTAGGTCTGTTTTTGCTCCAGACACATTTTTTGTCTGGATTGTGAATGTTATACTTGCTGGGGTTCTATAATAGTGCAAAAGTAAAAAGATTTTGAGATTATCTTACTAATTAACTTAAACAGAGGGCCTGTCATCATCTTTCTATGAAATGGTCTGAAATCCATTTATCCATTCTGTGTCTTGCATGATATAGTGGTATTAGTGCTGTAATCATGTTGAACTGAGGACACAAATATTTGTATTCCTCCGTGCCCTTCCCCCATCTACACTGGCTTTCCAGTTCATTGGCTTAACAAAAGAAATGAGCTCTTTCTACAGGGTTTGTCTTGTAAAGTATTAATTTTATAAACTTTGTATCACTTTATTTTAGTATGTTTGGAGAGGCAGATACAGATTTGCAGGAACTCCGGGCCTCAATGGAACAACTGCTTAAGGAGCAGCCTAGTGAGGAATTCAGTGAAGAGGAGGAGTCTGCTTTAAAGGCAAATGTCATGGAATGCATACCAAATTATATGGAGCTGGATGAAGATGAAAATAATCCCAGCAGTGAAAGTGCACTTAATGAAGAATGGCAGTCAGGTATCATTTCTATTATACCTGTTCTGTAAGTTATTTATTGATGTTAACAAGTCAAACACAGAAGAATGTTTTCCCACTGTATACTTACAAGAAAATAAAGCTCTAATTAATGTTTTTTATACAGAAGTTTAAACAAAAAATCAGGTAATATTTAGGCTTTCTGAATGTTAAGGTCAACAATATTGCAAATTAAATGTTGGCTATTAGGCAGTGATTATAAGTCACTTTTTCTCTAATTGCCTAAAACTTGTCTTCAAGGAAGATCAAAGACACTGTGCATGTCATGTGTTTTGAATAATTCATGACTGCAATGTAAGGGTGAAAAAGAAATAGCAATTGATGTGACTGGAGTAACTGGAATCCAGCTTACTTTGCAATTAAGTAATTCATCAGGTACTTGAAATTATTAACCTTGTCCTTAGCCCAAAATAGGTATTAATGCAGTCAAACAAAAAGTGAGAGAGAAAAATTTATTACTGCTTTTAGCATTTTGCATTAGCTATACACAATGGTGTCCTTAAGTCTCAGTTCTGTTTTTTGATTTCTGGTTGAAATGTGTTTTACTACTGCTGAAAAGTGCATTTAGAAATATAAGTGCAAAAAAAGATGTAGAAAATCAGTATCTATACAGAAGCTATGTTTTAGATTAGTTTTGATTTATTTAAGACAATTTTAAACAAATTGAAAATCCGTGAATATTCCTGTAAGTATTTCAAGGTAAAATAAACTTAGGTAGTACCATCTTCTTTCATTTTTTGACAGTGCTCATCTTATACACTGATAACGTACAGTACTGTTTCTGTGATTCTGCTGTTGTAAGCATCATGGTATTTGATGTCGATGCCCCACCTTCTAGATTCATGATTCATAAGAATTGTGGGCGTCATTGTTGGGGATGGGAGGAAGGCCTTCAAAACTCAGGGGAACAGACAGAACTTGAAATCAAATCTGTTCAAGATCCAGAAGTTAAATACAGGATTAGAAGCCATATAATGGGTTTATAACCCACATACAACTTTCCTTTTAATTTGAATGATAATTTCTTATTGATGTGACTGTTGATACTTGAATGGAGGGATATGATTTGGTCAGGATTACACCTCATGCTAGTCATACATAGGAATTGAAAGTAGTAGAGTTTTAATACTAACTCATAAAGTCTGTGACCTACCAGACAACACTATGTATTTTTTTTTTAAGATTTGATGATATAACCTCTGAAATCTAAAAAGTTGTATATTTTTCCCTAGGTAGGTAAGTCCTTTCATAATTCAAATATTTATTTAAGGAAGTATTTTTAGTGGGCAAAAGCAGTTTACATTTTAAAATACGATTTTACATAGGGATTCTATCTTTTTTTTTTTAAATAGATACTTTTGTGTTACACTTGCATAATGTTTAACTGTTACAAACCTATTTGTAAGGTTTCTGTAGCCTATAAGCAAAATAATCCTGATTTCTCTCGCATATCTTATTGCACCACTTGGGATACCAAATTTACTACACAAAGGACATGCACTCAGAGAAGAATGAGGAACTTTGTAGCTAAATTAGTACTGAGTTTTCTAGACTTGCTCCATGGAACAAGATGCATTTCTGTGCAGAAATTAAATAACTGATTCCTAATATATGTGCCCTTACTTTCTGCTAGAAGACAGCTGTTTCATTAAGGTGCTGTTTTCCCTAGGTGGGACAGCCACTGAACCCTGCATCAGTTCCACCTCAGAAATAGGTGGAATGGTGATGTGGAACTTGACCTACTAACATTGCTTTGCTAAAGTCTGCTCTCAGAACATACCTTGTTTTCCTTCAGTATGAATACCCTTCTGGCTAACTATCAGAGTGGGCTTCTAGAGAAGATAGCTAGATGCTTCCCATTTGGGATTCAGAATTTCTTTGCTGTCAAGAAAGGGACTGTTCCTGTTTCCTTGCAGGTTGTTCACAACATCTGCCAACGTTTTCTAGTGCTCCTGAGCTTAGCCATTTGCATTACATTTAGAGGTTCTGTGTGTCTATCAAGTTTAGGGACATAGAAACAACATTAAGAATGTAGGAAAACTGAGGGGTTTTTACAGTTGCTTTCTTTCTTTATAGATAATAGTGATGGAGAGATTGCCAGTGAATGTGAAGAATGTGATAGTATCTTCAGTCATTTGGAAGAGCTGAGAGAGAACCTGGAGCGGGAAATAGGCTTTGATAAATTCATTGAAGTTTATGAGAAAATAAAGGTTTGTGGAATAGCCTCAAGTGGAAAACATTTTAACAAACAAGTACCTAGGGCTGTTTACTATGCCAGTAACTAATTGCATTGTGTAACAAGAATCGATGCTTATTTCTTTAGTCTTTTATTCTGTTTCGACACACTGAAGTATTAACAGAGAAAATGCCATGCCAGTGGATTAAAGAGAAAAAATTGGGTTTAACCATGAATTGTATTTAGTAAATTTGAACTATTTAATTCTACACCTATTTTAATTTTGGCAACATGGATTGTTCTTTCTCCCAGGCTATACATGAAGATGAAGATGAAAATATTGACATTTGTTCAACTATAGTTCAGACTGTTCTTGGATATGAACACAAACACCTGTATGCCAAAATACTTCACCTAGTAATGGCAGACGGAGCCTACCAAGAAGGTAATCTCACTGTATCCTGGGAAGTATGGCTTGTCTTCTGTTCTTTCTTGGTCATATACAAAAGGTTCTAATGTACTTCTAAAACATATCTGTGCTTTGTTATATTGATTGGCTAAATTTATAAAAATATTTTTTTCATAAAGGGTATTCTATTCCTGCAACAAAACATGGCAAACTTTAATTAAGAACGCTGACCACTGTGATTTGACAGTATGTACCTATGCAGTCAACTGTAACAATAGTTGTCTAGTTGAAAGGTACAGTATATTTCTTTAATTTCTGTAAAACAGTTGTGCAGATTGGGAATATGAAAGTCTAGAATAAAACTTTCGGAATTAACCCAAATTTTATTGTTACTATTGTTCTTTCCAAAACTCTACTTTTAACAGGTAGGTATACTTTATACTTTTGAAAAAATACTCTAATGCATGTTAACTAGCATCTGCTTTCTGCATCTTTTCAATTCTTTTACAAATGGGTTGCAGTAGCAGTGAATAAAGGGTCAAAGAAGATTAGATTTCTGTGGTTTTTATATATAAATGCTTAGTGGGAAAAAGTCTTAAAAACTAGTTTTTAAACATAATAATTAAAAAACCTTCTAATGCAAATTACATTTTCCTATTTTTTCTTTGTTACTGCAACCGCTCAGTAAGAACACCCAGTACCATGTTGTTTTCATGTTGTGTTATAGAAGTATGATAAAAAAGTGTCTGAAAAATATTTCTTCAACCACAATTTATTGATTTAATGGCAGAATTGTAAAGATATATTGTAGCAGTTGATTTCTCAGGTGTCCAAAGGACTGGCAATATAGAACAAGAAGAAAATGGTAACTTTAGTGTTACCAGTTTCTTTTCCTTGCCACTTTGCCTTAAGGATATTTTAAAACTAATACTGAAAGGCTTAAATGGCAATTTGCTAAAATGTTGGCATACAGATTGTGAACTGTTGTCTGAGTGAATCCTATTAAAATGAGCTGGCGTTCATCTTGCAAAACGCTGATTAATAAGTGGCTGTTTCTAATAGCTTCAGTTCTAATTCTGTATTTTACAAATCTGTGATAGCATACAAAAATGTAAAGAAAAAGTAGTTCTTTACATTTCAGGCATTTAAAGTGCATGTAGTACTTTACAACTAAAAGTGTATAAAGAACTATATTTAAAGTAATTCTTTAAATTTCAGATATTTAAAGAAAATGTATGCTAATAAAGGTGAATAGAGGACAAGTGACAGAAGCGTGTTCATGAGCTTCTGTCTCTGAAGTTTTATACTCTTCAAATATGAAAAGTTAGAAAAAAAATCTACACTGCTTTTTACTAAGGGGATTGTTCTAACTGAAGCATGCCACTTCAGATGAAACTATCTTAAATTTGCTAATCCAAGAAAGATCACATGTTGTTCAGTACTGGTACTCATAGAGCTTTCCAAGGCACTTTTGGGAACGGTCACTTCATTGGCGACTGACTTCACAAATTCTTGTGTTATCGCTTACTAAATTGTGGTAACCCCAGCTTGATTTTGTGTGTGTATGTGTGTGGTTTTGTCGCTCCTTTTCACCCTCTCTCCCCCTCTCCTGCTTTTTACAGATAATGATGAATAAACCTCACTCAGGAAATTCTTTAATGCTTTACTACAAATCTGTATTTGAAGTCTGCACAGCTGAATAACAAATTGTAGTGGAGAATGTAACATGGGGCAGGAGAAACAAGACTTCAAAGAAGAACGCTGATTGTATGAAAGAGTAAAAACATGTCTTTCAAGATTCTGATACCTATATACTTCTCTTGTGTGTACTTGCTTATGTCTTCATTAAATATTAGATGCCCATCTCTTGCTTTGTCTGATGAGGAAGTACAATCATTGTTGGAAACAGTGCTGGTTCTGTCCTGTGCTGCTTCTCCTCTCCTTCCTTCCTTCCTTCCTTCCTTCCTTCCTTCCTTCCTTCCTTCCTTCCTTCCTTCCTTCCTTCCTTCCTTCCTTCCTTCCTTCCTTCCTTCCTTCCTTCCTTCTTTTTTTTTTCCCCTCAACTTCCCACAGTAAATTTCAGTAAATTTGGGGGCTTTTCACTAGGCTTCTCTTCCATTCCAACTTCCACTGCTGAATAATCTAATCAGAGATGATCCTCTTCATCCTTGATATTTAGCAAACACACTCTAAAGATTTTAATAAAGAGTGAGTCATTTTTATTTTGCTTCTTCAGATTTGCTTTTCAAGTTACACCTTGCCCACCTTTTGGGGGACGGGAGGACCCAGAACCTCTAGATTTAAGAGAATATATATTAACCATATAGAAAGAAGAAAACATACCCACTTGTGTATTCTGTGCTCTGTGATTTTGAATTTTGTGGTACAGTCTTACTGAAGTGAAAGGTTGGCAGACATGTTTAATTTTTTTTAAATTGAAACTGTATCATTATTAACATTCTTCATTTCTTATGCAGTGTGATGGCTTTCTTCTGGTAAGAAAAATGAATGTAAGCTGCAGACTTCAAGCTTAACAGACATAGCGCTTTTTCTCAATTAATGATTTGAAAAATATGCATGGATCGTGCACAGCTTTTCAAGAATAATCTTGAAACTTATCAAATAATACTGGATATCCTTGAAATCCCTCACGAGCCAGTTTAAAATTGATACTGTAAATAAGTTTGTCTGCTAAAGAAATACTTTTACCTGAATTTTTAAATCCCTATTTAATGTATGCTGTAACAACATCAAGGACAGTGTGACTTCAGGATGACTTATTGGTCTGTATGCAATAACTTACTGAAATTAGTTGAGTATTTGGCTTGTATTCATATTGCATTCACTATAAAGGATTTTCTGTTGTAATTCTAGTAACAAATTGAGATACAGAATGGTATTTTTGGCACAAAACATACTCTGGAAACTATTTCATGTTATGTCCCTGTCCTCAGTCTTGCCTCTTGACCCCTGAAGCCAACTGCAGTTCAGATGCGTAATTAAAAAAAAAAAAGAAGACAAAAACCCCACAACAAATAAACAAAGACCCCAAAACAAAAAAAAAACAAAACCCAACACAAACCCCAAAGAAAACAAAGAACTCTATCCCAAAACAACAACAAGAAAACCACACCCAAAAAACCCCAAAACCACTTTGCCCTACACATCCACCCCTCCTCACAAACCCATAATGCTTCTATTGTGCTCTACTGACGTGACTGTAGTCCATGACACTGGAATCTCCTGGCTAACGGTGCCATTTTTAGCTGTGTGTATGCCTTGAGTTTTGATCTTCACTAGAAAGAAGTAAAACCCCAGCAGCAAGGCAGAACTAGACAGACTGTGTCCCTGTCCTCGTCAGGGCAGGAGAGATGGTATTGGATTCCTTCAGGCAGCAGATTGGAACCAGGCCTTGGTAACTGTGTGACGGATGGGTGAAGTTTGGCACAGCAGGAGGGTGTTTTGTGCATCTGGAGCTTGCAGTTGGTGTATCTGGTGTGGCCCTTGTTCATGGTCTGTGGTGTAGATGCTGATCTCAGGGAAATTACTGGGTGCCTGTTGCTGAGGTTCATTCTTTGTTAATCTGGATGATTCTTACTGTAATAAATAACTAGAGAAATGATGGTAAGCAGTATCATATAGTTCAGATTATTGGCTATTCTCACCCAGAATCAAATCTTGAGTCACACATCGAACTTCCCTGTCCTCCTGTATCGCCCATCAGGTACACCCAGGTCCTTAAGCAAAAGCAATCCTATGAATGGGTTTGTCTTTGCGTGGGACAGGAGTAACCCAGACAGTTTTCCCCAATTCCTGATGTGCACCACAGAGACTTTATGCCCTTCTATCTACCACTTCCTATGGTTGTCATGATGGCCCTGGTTGAATCCCTAAGTCACCTGCATCACCCACCGCTGTGGTCAGAGTAGCTGCAGTGCTTGTCACTGAGGTCTGGGTAATTGCAGTGGGTGTTGTCAGGACTGGAGTAGTCACAGTACTCATTGCAGAAATTTGAGTAGCTGCTGGGGTAGCTGCAGTGCTTGTCATGGGGGCTGGCAGAGCCGCAGGGCCTCTCACAGGGGTGGTGGCAGCTGCACAGTACTCACATCTATACCAATGTTTCCCTCTAAGCAAGACTAACAAGTAAAAAACATTCAAAAGGCTTGACAATGTAAGCACTGGGGTTGAAACATCCCAAGAGTAGTTAAAATTCTCAAAAGCTGTTGAAATTAGCCCCAAGGGAAAAGAAAAGCCACTGAGATGCTCACACACACACACACACACACACACACACACCCCCACCCCCCCTCACTCCCTGCCTCTTCAAGCATGATCATGCAAAACAAAACACAAGGTATAATTACAAACAACATACACGATAGGGCTCCGGAAGCACAGAAATGTCTCTTCTACAGGCTGGCTCACCGTGCAGAAAGTGTAAAGAATGTGATTACGCACAGATGGCGCAGAGACCGAGTGATGGTGGCCATACTGTTACACAGCGCAGCCGAGCTGAACCCTCAGCCCGAGCTCTAGAGCTGGTCATCAGCATCAGGAGAAGCAAGGAAGTTGTTACCTCCAACAGCTCTGGCAACAACTCTGTGAGCAAATAAATCAGTATTATGATCATAGACTATTAAACTAATACAATGAATACTTGTAATTTATCTGGTCCAATGTATTAAAACTTCAACCCTTCAAGGCTCTCAGGTTAGAAGTCTGTGGTTCTCCCAGATGAGCTATTTGAGTTGGATGCCAAATAACCTGTCTCCACTTAGGGAGTTCTATCACATGATGACCTCTCCGCACCTGAGGAAGTGAACTGGGGGAAAAGGAGGCCTGTGGGCTGAAAGAGAAATAGATTTAATAAAATAATCAAACCCACTATTAATACCAATGTTAATATAAAATACACAGAGTTATACTCAGCCCATATAGTAGTCACAAGCTGTGCACTCCCAGCAGTGAATGTGACATGACAAACACTGAGCACCACAGCTCCAGCAAAAGTGCGACGGTCACACTGAAGGAGGGAGTAAGCCTTTGGGAGCAGAGCGACAGGTGAGACCCTCCAGAGATACCAACCATTGAGGAAAGAAACTGTTCCCAGTAAACTTCACAATTTATAGCGAGCATGACATTTATGGTATGAAGTAATTGTTAGCCAGCTTGAGTCTGCTGCCCTGGCTTTCACTCCTCCTAGCTTTTCTACCTGGCTAACACAAAACTGCTAAAGACCTTGATCACTATGGCCACCTTCTGTCCCAGCAAAACCAGGACAGCCAGGAAGACAGAGTCTTGATTGCTAACTGGCCTTGTTTTGAACTGAATAAGTACAGTAATCCTACCCTGAGCATCAGTGCCTAAAATATTTTTCAAATAACAGAGCCTGAAGAGGCTTTTGCTCTTCAGTTTGCTGAACTTCGAGTGCATATTTGAAGTTACTACTAGAAGGTGCTTCCAAAAAATGTATTACCTTGTTGGGTAATGTGAACCAAAGTTCCAGTGTACCACATTCCTGACAACGTTCTCTGTGTTCTTGAGAGATCTACACAATTTATCAATCTTTCTTATTTTAGATTTAGTGCTTCTGTCTACCTTGCTCTGATTTATGCATAAATGCTGTATGTTTATTCAAACATGCATTCTCCACTAACCCTTTTGTTTAAAAGCTTTACAAGCTTGCCTAAATCTGTTGAAAGCTTACAGTATATTTTTGTAATGTTGTTTTTTACATTTCTTTGCAGGGGATAGTACACCTTCTCAAAACTCTGACTGTCCTTAACTCAGACCTGAACTGTTTGATAGCATTTAGAACAGACATCCTAAACCTGCCTGTGTTTGGGATGGGGCGGCAGTGCCGCTGTAAAACCGCCAAGTGGCAGCACCACAGCGGCCGGGGCCCCACCGCCAGGGTGCAGGACCCTCTGCGTTGTGCAGCAGCTCGCAAGGCTCCGTGCAGGTTGCACTTTGCTTGGTAAGATGTGGGGCTACCTGGTGCTCTAGGAAGGGTCCTGAAGAGAGCGAGTCTGAATCAGCATGGAAATTCTGAAGTTCCTGTGATTTAGGCCTTGTACAAGGCCATGTCCTGAAAACCCTATACATAAACAGAAGTCTTCATATGTTTAGAAAACATTGTTATTCACAAATAATTTACAAATCAAAAATACAGAGAAATACATGGAACTTGCAGAACTGGATACCAAGCATTTGGATAGAGCAGTTTCTCAGCTGGTATCAGCCATGCTGTCCCTACATGCCTCGTCTCGGGGGAGAGAGGGGGGTGGCATGGTACATCCAGTTTCCCCAAAATGACTAGATGCAAATTTAAATAAAATACAATGCTTTTAGCGTGCTTCTGACTTTGTACATGGTGGGACTCTGTAGCAATCCTCCCCTCAGCCAAATGGTGGTGTAGAAGCGTGCCCCTGGCTAAATTACTGATTTGACTTTTATCTCCCCACTAAAAGCACCAAATGAAGCTAAGGCTCTACTTAACTTTATTAACTGTGATAAACCAAAGACAAATATGGATATTTGATTTCTTCAAGCTTTTCAAATGTTTTTCTTCCCCCTTCTCAAATCTTATTTTTAACATTGTTTATTCATAAGCCATGTAGACTAAAATTTAGCATAAAATAGAAACCAGTGGTTAACACTCCCAGAACATTTACTTTTGCCATTTTTATCATAGCAGTTCAGATGGAGCAATTTGCAGAGTTTAAGTACTAGTTTTAAAATCCATAAAGAGCTTCTTCCTTTAAATTAAATTTGTGTGTTAATGCAATATACACTTCGAACGCATTTCCAAGTTGCTATATTTTCCAGCAGAGCTGATGAGTTCATCAATTCATATAGTAG